TGACTTTGACAATTACTATATTCAATCTTGCTGACTCTGACTTTGACTCACTGACCGCTGCTGACTCTCACCCTGACCTTGTGGCTGACCGCTGCTGACTTTGAGCCTGGCCTGGAACCTGACATCACACTGATTTAAACCAAGTTTCACAGAGCCATGATCGGGGGCTGGGACAGAGAGCTGAGATTATGAGCACCTTTGGCCTGAAATCCCAGCTCATGGGTTCGTCGCCGGCACCATCGCGGCTTGCGGCATCCTTGTCACGGGCGTCTTTGAAACGCCGATCTGCCAAGAGCGTCCTCTTGTCCATCGGCCCAAGCCGTGGACACCCTTCATAGGTGCATTTGCTCACACCATACAGGCAATCGCCGGACGTGGATCCTTCATAGACAGCATTGTCGCGTCGGCCAACAATGCTGACCAACCTTGTCGGGCATGCAGTGCCAATAAGGAACGTCTCCTTCTGCTTGAGATTGTGGACCTCGAAGGCGGCGTAATGAAAACTGCGGGTTTGAGCTCAATGAGTTCAAACCAAACTTTGTTCAATGTGTGACTCTTGACAACGACAATCACAATTTATATAATTTTAAGTTAAATTAATAAAAATTAGCTTAGCGTCATCAGTTGTTTCATTGGCCGCTCGCGCGCTCTGCAACTTTACCCAGCACTGAGCCCCTCCAGGGTGGTGATACGGCTTTGGAGATTTGTATTCGTGCGCGTTCGCCAATACCCACACCCAGGCGACAGTAGCCCCACCAGCAGCATTCTTTGTCAGGTATGGTTGCAAGTCACTGCAACAGTGCTTGTCAATTGACGCATCAAGTGTTTGACGGTCGGCTTGAAAAGAACTGACAACGTCAACTTCTCCTATGACAGTGGACGACACGGACTTGATGATACCAATTCTGTGGCGCTTGCGAGTGTTGGTCTTTCTGATTTCCCACCGCTTTAGTCCCTGAACGATTTGTTCTGCATATGGGCTTTGGACTATCAATGCATCTGCGACTGTGAACTTTGACTCCTCGGCTAACTTAGCCGTCAATGTCAAAATACGGGCTAAAAAAAAACCTAAAATGACGTGGTCAAAAAATATTCAATAAGTGTCAAGAGACGGAGCGGTCCAGGATCTGTCCCGAGGGCGATCGTGCCTTGCGTGCTCGCGAAGTGAGTTCTCACTGTAGATCACGTGCAAGGTGCTCACTTGGCACCCACACTCCTTCATGACGTTGCGGAAATGCACCTGCAAGGCTTCGCGCCCACCATCTGAGAAGAGGAACCTCAGCCAGCAAGTGCGTGACCCACTGGCCATAGTGACTCAGCGACAGTCACTGACTGTCAATGACATAACGAGACCACACGACTGTCACTGACTTGGACTGAAGCCAAAAAACATTGACTGAACCATAATTTATTGAAGTAGACAAGGTGCACGTCAGATGGATGGGGCTCTGGAAGGACCAGCGCTGAAGGGTCTGACATATCCGGATCTTCAGTGGCTCGCATCAGGATCATAGCCTGGATGAGCTTGTCGAAAGTAGGCCTGTCGAAAGGACATGGCGACCGCCTCGCGTTCTTCATGGCTTCCCCCATTGCTTCTGAATCGATCCAGTAGAGCACGCTCTTGGCCCTCGGCGGGGCGGCCGCTGGAACGCCGTCGTCGGCACGGTGGACGGGGTGGACGGAACAAAAGGATGTTCACCCATGTCCTCCCCAACCCAGAACCTTAACCCGAACCCAAAGCCCTAAATCCGAAACCAGAACCCCAAACCCTTCTGGAAGCCCTAAACTCGCTGCGCCGGCGTTGACGACGTGGCTTCACTCGGAGGAACTGTGCAAAAAGGCTAGTTCATCGTGGAAGAACAGTCAGTGTGTGTCATTAAAATGTCATTGAGTGACACTTGCACTGCTTGAATGACTGAATGTCTTGAATGTCATTTCCAAACATCGTTCAGCCTCAAACATTTTGGCATGTGGTGAATGACAATAACAAAATCAAGGCACTCCAGAGTCAATGACAGCAAGTGGCCGAAGAGTCAAGCCGGCCTTTGTGAGGAGGAGGACGGGGCAGAACAGTCGTGCTCGTCAGAATCAGCCATGTTGAACACGCCTTGGCATCAAGGTGGCTCTGATGGAATCTGGCCATGGCAACTTACAGAACGCTTGTTATTATTCAGTCACTGACACTCTTTGCAAAGCGCCACGACCATAACTCCTGTCAAATGAAACTACATCCACTTAGCAAGCTTCAGCGTAACGTTCTGCTTGTTTTGCAGTCCTGGTCCTGGAGGGTCCTGGTCTTCGCCCTGACATTGGAATTCCATGACATCAACTGACGGGAATGACAGGAATGAATATCTGGCCTGAGGAGGCTTCTCAATGAGTTTCATGGAGATGCTCAAAGTCTGGAACACATGCATGGCCTGGCAATCGCGGTCAGAGACGAACAGAGCAGTACATGGAGGTCAGTGACAATTTCAAAAATAATAAACTAACATTATAAACATGACAATTGTCCTCATCTTCGGCGATGTCTCGCTTCATCATGGACTCCACCAGCTGGATCGAGGTATCCAAGGTCACGTTGATTTTCTTCCTGGAGGTGTCAAATTAAGGAATGTGTGCGTCCAATGCGTGCGTCCAACGGGTGCGTCCTGACCAAGCTGACCACACACTTTTCGACCTTCTCGATGGCTTCGCGTAGATCCATCCGACCTGATCATCAATACATAATGGATGACAATGATGGCCAAGAGGGGATGTAGCTGAGGTCCAAGCACAAAATGACGGTGACTGGCACCAGGCAATAACGGCTGCGGTGACAATGACTGACAAGGACAGCTGCGGTGACAATGACAAAGACAGCTGCGGTGACAACAATGACTGAGAAATCAATAGCTTCCTATTCCCGTCGTGATTTATCCATGTCAAGACTTGGGTAAATCACGACGGGAAACTAAATTATTTTGCACACGAATTTTGCAACTTGCACCCAACTATTAAACTTAATGCCTGGACTTTTCAAAATACAAACCGAGATGAAAATTGATTTTAAACGTCGTGAAAATTTGGAACGACTCACGTCCTCATTTCCGGACTAAGTCAGAAAAAACTGGGAGGACTCAGGTTGAGTTGAAAAGCTGGCAGGTTGAGAAGCTGGGGGCAGGCATGTCACTGATCAATCACAGGTTGAGTTGACCAGACAAGCTGGCAGGCTCAGTCTGTTGAGTTGAGAAGCTGGGGGAAAAAAAATCCCCCTTAACAGCCACCCAGGTGGAAGCCGCGGGCTAACATTGACCTGCGCTCGTGCTGATCAGAGCTCAGATATCTTCTTCTCCTGTTCATCCAGTGGCTCATCGGGGAAAGCCTTCCTTGGCTTCGCCAGTGCAATTGAGCGGCCTTTCTGGTAGAGGGACATCCAAAGCTGAATTGCGCTCTATATGCTCTTGGCTCCGCAGAAGAGAAGCCGTCCTTTCTCATCCTCATTCTCAGTTCGCAGCAGCGCAGCACGTCCTTATTCCTTCTCCTGACATCACGTCACATTGTAGTCGCCGACGCGCAGCCCCAACGCGCCATCATCCACACGCCGCTCCTCGTTTTGAAAAGAAACTGCTGAAAGTGAGGGCCCCCTTTCTCAGCTCTTCGCGCGCTCACAACCACACAAGGATGTGGCAGAAGGAAAGTATTGCAGCAGAAGACATTGGCGCACGCGCCAGGCTAGAAAAGGGCTGAGCCAGGATGTTTACAAGAAGGCAGCAGCAGCAATCAGAAATCCCCGCAACCTTGGCGAGTGATCCGGTTGGAGCTGAAAGCCGACGAATAAGGGAGCGATTGGAGTTCAACTGCCATCGGGCTGGCAATTGTTGTGACCATCTTGGCGGCCTTGCACTGCAAGAGGATCCCGCAAGAGGGTCGCGCAAGAGTGTCCTAACCAGAGCGTTTTTTGAGCGCCTCGTCTTTCACAAGAGTGTGTGACCAGAGTGTCCTACAAGCGCTTTGCAAGGGTGCCCTCAAGCAGTTTATCAGCACGAGTGCTCTAGAAAAGTGCTCCATCAGAATCTCCAACAGGACCGCCCCCCAAGAATGTCCCACCAGAGTGTCTCTCACACGCTGTGACGAAATTACGTCTATGATGTCACTGTGCCATGCGGTTTGGTGAGGCTGCGGTCGACGGCAGTCGAGTCGGGAGGGTGCTAGTGCTAGTGTAGATGCTGTTGCGCTGGGCGGGCTGCGTCCCAAGAGTATCTTACAAGAGTGTTGCGCAAAGGTGTCCCAGAAGAATGTCATGGAAGGATGTGTCAAGCAATGTTTACACACATCGGTGGCTGTCAACACCATTGCTGCTGCACTACTACATGGCGGCCGACGCAGACCAATTGATCAGGTATATAGATATGAGACACTGTAAAGGGCTGAATTGGACAAAATAAGTTCAATCAATGTGTTTTTCAATGGACGGTCTCACCACCTGCCCTGTCTCCAGCTAACTCTGGCTTTAGTTGTTTCAACCTCGAACTAAATCTTCGGTATTTTTGCTGACGTTTTTAGCTCGTGCCCAAGTGACACCATTTCAAAAAGCAACCGAAGAACAATTAAAACAACAACTAACCGTTTTCCATGGCCCACTGCAATCCACTGCGCCCAAATGTTGAAAGACCAGTCGACAGTCCATTCCTCCTAAAAGAATAAGCGCCAATCGAAAAAAAACTGTATTTCAAAAGTTAGTTTTCACCGCCTACCCGTAAATATTTTCTTTTTGATTTAATCAAAATAATAATCGTTTTGATTTCGGAACATCATGTACGCCTTCCGGAAATGCAAAGACTAACAACATCAAACAAAAACAGTAATTGATATGGGTCGAAAACCTTTTTGCTGATAAGTCATGTTTTGTATTCCTTCATATTCCTTCCTAGCGCATCATCCTCAAGGACTATTCATGCAGCATTGGTGTGATGCGCCCCCGTGTTGTGGAAAACACCGCATGGCAGTTCGCTTCTGAGGGGAAGAAGCTCGCGGCCCTTGGCAACGAGGCATCGCCTACAAAGGGTTCTCGCCTATGGTCAAGGACCAACAAATGTCCAGCCCGTGATACAGATCAATGCGAATCAAAGTATGTAGTGAAGTGTTTGTGGCCACCGCATGTGCGCAGCGGCGCGCAAAACTGCTGAGTTGTGTACTTTGTTGATTTGCAAGTTTGATCAGTTTTGCCTCACTGCCCTGAGCAAGTTGAGGACCTTAAAGGCATCGACATAGACCGGGCCTCAGACCATCATTGAACACTGAAACAACCAGTTGTAAACAACCGTCTACACAAAAGACTGTCAGTACAAAACATCCCAAGAGACTGTCAGGAAAAGATCCCATCAATGCAAGATTTGCCGATCCAATCTGCCATTGTCACTCCCAAAGCTGGCAGCACAGTGGAATTGGATGACGTCGAGGCTTGATGTTCACTTGATTCTCACACAGAAGCCCCGCAAAAAGAGAGAGAGAGAGAGTAGGGTAGTCCTCTTCATGCGCGTAATGAAGTCCCCCCAGCCGTTAAACGTCGAAGCGTTCGCAGGATGCATATAGTCAGCGTTCGTACAACGCTCGGATCCAGCGGGTGAGCTGGACTTTTGCTTCACTAATCGGATCAAGTGCACGACTGCACTGACTCCATGGTTGGCCTCAACGTCTTCCGGTCTCAGCTCCTTCGAATGACTGGTTGCCAAAGCTTGGAAAGACCACTTTGGGAAGAACTCCTAGTAGGGAACATTGCTAGTAGTAAGGCCAGTCCGTAGCGAACCTAAAAAGGAGGTTTGATCTAGCACGAAAGCACTCCGACGCCCCACCGCTCGAGATGACTCCCGCAAGGCGCCGATCTGGGAGACCAACCGTCCCACACCAATCTCCTTCCAAACGTGCCATTTGGCAGTAGATAAAGCATACAGCGAAATACAAGAGATATACAAGACATCCAAGTACCAACCAACAGGCTTGAGGAGCTGACCTCGCCCACCATCCAGTGGGTAGGGTGTATGATAGGCGTATGCGTCCCCTAGGATAGGCTCTACCACGATAGGAGCTAAGATTTGGTTTTCTTGAAGTCTTCTTGTGAAGTTTTCTTTTGGGCGAGCTTGGGTTAGCTGTCGCGTTTCCGACGGACCAAAAGTTGGCTTTCAAACATGCTATGACGCTTGGAGGTGAAGGGTTTTGCTTGGAGTGGAGGAGGTCGAGGTGCGATCCCAAACCGTGTGGTGACCGTTTTCGCAGCTTGACCTTCAAGACCTAGCGATGGCCTCCAACCTACTAGCGTCCTTGCTCCTAGTAGCGATGCCCTTTGCTCCTAGTAGCTTTTTACTCCTAGTAGTAAGGCCAGGAGCCCCTAGTAGCGTCCTCACTCCTAGTAGCGATATGTTTACGACATAAATATATAGTGACGCCAGAAAGCGGCCGATTGGAAGCGGGTCCAAATTGAGCAGCGTTCTAAATTCGCTCTTTCTTTTTTAGTCAGGGACCGGCGAAAAATCAGTGAACATAGTGATTTTAGCTGATGTTTGTAAGGTGTCCGTAAGGTTTGCCGTAAGGATGTGCAGACTTGGACGATGCCGCAAGGCTACCGGAAGCGAAACTTGTCTGTTTTGATTCTGTATCCTTTCTTGTTTTGCAACAACATATCAAATGTGACCATAGTGGACTTGCATACCTTCGCCGTAAGCACAACGTAAGAATAGCCATGCATACATGTGTCACCGTAAGCAAAACATAGAAAAACGTAAGCTTTGCGTAAGGCCTACCGTAAGGTTTGATTTCTCGGCAAGAAAAGACAACGCAATTTTGAACACCGCTCAATTGTGCCAGGCATAGTGCGCGTAGATGTTTCCATTGACGAGGGCAACACATGGGTCACAGCTGACCTACTGGATGGTAAGGATGGAATGGGAAACGGGAACGATCAAAGCTTTAGGTGCCGTAGTGAAGTCGGCCCAAGGGGCCCAAGTCAAGACGCTGTGTGCGTCGTCTTCCTTTTTCGGACAAATGTGCAGTGCGCAAGGCACAAGGTAGTTTTCTGAATCCAAGTGAGAGTGAAACCAAATGCATGCACATGTTTGAATTTGCAGTAATTCCGTCGGACGGAACTGAAGATTCCTTTTCTCGATGTTTGATTCAAGCATGTGTTCCGCTCTGTCGATAGTTTCAAGGTTGATTGATCCCGGATTGTTTTAGGTCATGTACGCCTCTCCCATAGGGTGCAAAAGTCGCATGTCCATGTTTTCATTCTTGCTTTGATTCAAACACTTTCTGGTGTTTCTTTGTGCAGCGCAAGGACCAGCCATACAACCGAGCGTGGGCCTGGACTTTTTGGGAAGCTTCTGTGACCAGTCAAAAAACATGGAACATCTCAGGAGTTCGTCAACTGGCAAAGTCACAGTGCTGCCACTGTATGTGTTTTTTTGCTGGACTTATTAGATACTAGCAGAGTGGTTGCCGCCGATCAGACTTTGACTGGCTGACTTGTCATACAATTTGTTCCCCTTAGGTGCCTGTGCCAGATGGTCTAAAGGGTAAGGAATTCACAATCCTTTGCCGAGCTGTTGATTCTGCATATAGCAACTTGGACGGGGAGAAATAGAGTTTCGTCCAGGGAGGCTGGAGAGACTTGTATTTTTGCATGTGGTGTCCTCTTTGTTCCCTTTGTTTCTGTGGTTATGGAAAAAGCCTCAAGAGCGACCGACAAAAAACAGCCGCTCACGTTGTTCCTTGAGCCAAACGCAGGTCGTTTTGACCGGTGGTTCACCTTTTCAGGTGTTCATGACCTTCACGAAAAAAGGTATGCCTTGGGTCGTGTGCTTTTCCACTCACACTCCCCCTATGCTGGTCAAAGGTGCCAGCATACATGGCTTCATGGGGCTCCACTGCAGGTTTTTTCTTCTGCAGCGTCACCCAAAAGTTCAAAGCTTCCAACCGACCGCGAGTCTTCGCTGTCGTGGCTTAGGCCAGGAGGCCTCACAAATGGCGTCTCAACACCCATCCAAATGGGCAGATCATCAGCTTCCGGCGGACTTAACCGCTCACTCTCCAGCGAGACCCTCCAAGCCTCCTCATTCAGGTCCACCGCCCTCGACGAAGCGGACGACCCGATCTCTCCCCTTTTCAAGCACCCAAGGCGCCTTGCCTCATAGCCGCTCACGGGGACACCCTCCAAGGTCACATTGACTCGTGCAGTGATTGCCGTGCCGTCATAGGCACGTGACATTTGAAATGAAGTACCAGTTAAGGCCTCCATAGCTTTCCGACCCCTCTCCGCAGCATGCGAAGAAGTGCCGCCATCACCTCCATACCCTTCACGGGGTTGAGATCCTCCAGCTCCAGGCCGCAGCGGCATTTGAGCCTGCGAAGACAACGCTTCCTCGCCCTCCGCAGCACCAGCCTCTGGGCCAAACTTCTCGAAGAAGAACGTGTAGCCACACCATTCATAGCAGTCTCTGACATCCGAATTTCTGTTCTCCACCCAGTCATCGATAATGCATCGTCGACGCCAGGCTTCTCTTGTGCTCCCCCGGCTGAAGGCCACAGTGATCCGGGTTGGCGAGAGACGTCCAATCGAAACAGGCGTCCCCCTGTGGAGCGGATGGAACTGCCGCACCCTAGGCCTCTTGAGGACCCTCACCCACCAATCACCACTGGCGGTGCCACATCCAAGGCATTCCCACCGGTCCAGGCCAGTCGGCGGCGACATGAAGCGAGCAAGCTCCCAAGGCTCATCCGTTCCCAAGCCCACATGCCTAGGCGGCGGTTTTGTCGGCGGCGCCTTCATGGCGCACATCCGCATTCGGCCATGGCTGCAAGGCGAAGCAAAACCCTTGGTAACCCTCGGGGTGCCGGTCCGGCAACAGTCGAGCGAAGTCGGGCGATCGACGGGCGGGGAGGTCCTATAGGTTGTGTTCCTCCCGCATTCGACAGGGCCGGGTTCATTTTCCCTCGACCATCTTGATGTTGGGCCGGGTTCATTTTCCCTCGACCATCTTGATGTTTCTTTTGAATGGGATGCGTTAGACCTCTTTGTTGACTGGCCATCTGCCGTCTTCGAACACTTCTTTGTGCACAAATGCCGTCAACGCTGCCAAGCCGCACACCGATGCCGCTCGGACCGCAGTGCCCAGGCCTGGAGCCACCACTAACAATCCCAACGCCACCGCCGCACCCAACGCCAACTTCTTCAAGCGAGAAAGCGCAGGGTCCTCAGCAGACGCCTCCGGCTCCACCGACACAAGCCCCACCGTAGAAGCAAATGATTCCCAGCTCCGAGGCACAGTGATCGCCTTGGTCAACAGGTCAGCGCATAGGTCAGCGCCAGGGATGTGCTCTGCATGCCACAGCTTCATCTGCAACCGTTCCCTCAAAACGTGGCTGCGGAGCCGAAGATGCCTCGTCCGCCAGGGCCCGCTTGGGGCATGCAGCAGCTGCAAACCTGACAAATTGTCGCCTCGCAAGACATAGCAACCTTCATGAGCCAGCACATTTTGCTCGAGGACGTTGACAATCGCTCCAACACTTTCTCCAAGGGTGAGGCCATCAACATACCCCAGAAGTTCACATTCAGTTGTACTCAGCGTTGCAAAGGGCTGAGTTTTTGATTCCCATGCCACCAAAGCACCACCCCACAGGCACATGATGCCCTGATGACCCTTTCCTCCAGTTGGTGCAAACGACGAGTCTGCCAACACTTCCAGCCTGGACATTGAGCTCCGCCGGCCATAGGAGTCCGTCTCCTCGGAACACGGCTTATAGGCAAGCGCATAGTCAAGGGTGTTCATGAGGTACCCCACCACATGATGAGCCAACTTGAGCACTTTCTTTGGACATTTTGTCACCCTGGAACCCAGGTAGGAGACCGCAAAGCTCAGGTCAGGCCTTGTGCGTGTCGATAGCCAAAGAAGCTCACAGATGATGGTTTGACATTTTTTCACATCCTCCTGAAGAATTTCGTCCTCCAGGTCCACATCATCCAGCTTCGGGAGGGGAACTTGGCGAGGCTGAAGGTCAGGATACCGACTAACAATTTCCCGCGTGTAGTCAGGCTGCCCCACCAACAATTCATCACCCTTCCACCTCATCTCTATGCCACAAAATTTCAACCACTGGTGCTGAGTCACCCATTTTGGCTCGGCGCACTTCCACATGGTTGAGAGCTTCTTCAGGAAACGTTCTGCCGTGGGACGAGGAGCAGCGACAATGAAGTCGTCGACATATGACAAAGCATACCCTGCCGTTGGCCCATCATCCATCACCTTCACAAATTCCTCCTCACCTCCAGGTGCAGTCATCAGTCGCCACACATTGGGCTCCGGAGTGGGAACCACCCAGTTGTGCACCCCATCCTCCCACCACCGCATGCTCTGCAGAGCTTCATCCCTGTAGGCCTGCCAGTCAGAGGGAGATGTGTCCAGGCCGTAGACCGCCTTCTCGATCACCCAGCGAATGTCAGGCTCGATGAGTCCAGCCTCTACCAGGATGGACGGTGGCTTTGTCACCATGAGCCTGGACGATTTCCGAGGTGCAAGCAAAAACGCTGTAGAGACATCAGTAACCCCGATGGACCACTTCTCCTGAGCCGCTTTTCGCAACGTGCACCTCAATGACATGCCATCGATGCCACTGGCATACAAATCAAAACTGCTTCCCATGGTCTTCTGCTGAGGCGGTTGGTCATCTTGACGATCCTCCAGGGCCATAGGTTGCTCTCGACGCTTTGAGGTGTCCTCCACCAAATTGCCACACAGGACGATACGGGCTTTCTTGCGAGCATCCGGGGCCTTCACCGTCGGGACAACCTTCGATGGGACGACCAGCATCTCTTCATAGCCCGGTTCATTCACCAAATCCTTCACCTTCACAGGCCGAACAGCTGTGGTTGACGTTTCCAGCGATGTTACCTCGTTCTTGAGAGGTGGAATCCATAGTGGAAGATCTTTTCGAACCTGTGCTAGGGGCACCGTGTAGGTTTGCAGGACCGAGTGGACTGCCCGCTGCTCCGGCGATTGCGAGACTTCCACAGTCATTGCCGCTATCTGGATCTTCTCATCATCGCCTCGCATGTCAGTCAACTTGTTCTCCATCTCCAAGACCATCTTCTCCACATAGTCGAGGATGTAGCCCTGCATTGTCCCCTCATCTTCACCTACCACCACATCCTTTGCGAGGTCCGACCATAGACGCTTCCAGCTCCAGTGTTCTTCTTCTCCACGTTCACGGAGCTTCAGTGCCTCGTTCATCTCACACTCCACACGCCCCAGCATCACTTCATTGCCTGGAGTTTCGAATGGTGTTTCGCAAAAACGACACTGTTTCACCTCCTTCAACTTGCCAATCACATACTCCCGCTGGTCACCATACTTCACCGGGAGCACTTGAAGACCACATTCACCACACACCCATGGTTCACCGTGTGCACCGTCATCTCCTTTTCGAATTTCACCACCATCACTGCTTTTCAGAAGGAGAGACTCCCCCCCAGACCAAACAAAGTGACGGGCTGGACCAATTTCTTTGTGCTCTCCCCCCCAAACCACGTTCAGCTTGAAGAGCTTGAAGGTGTAGATCATCACTCAATCTTGGTGCCGGAATCTGCGGCAAGCACGGGTCAGGCGGCTGTTTCCCCATGACCCGGTGCGAAGGGCGCGACGGATCGGAAGCTTCCTGAAGTTCCAGAACAGCTCGATCAGCCATCGGGTCAGTGAGGACAACCACACGTGCGTGTTGAACTTGTTGACCTTCCCTCAACACATAGCCCTCCGTCATGAAAGGTGATGGTCCGAGGATGGTCATCGTGCGAAAGGGCGGAATCAAAGGCCCAAAACCAGCTCTGTGCCACCTTTTGGTTTTCACAGTGACACGGGCTCCAATTGGCATCAGCGGTGTGCAAGGGACTCCAAGCTTGACGCATTGATGCCGCAGTCTTTCCTCGCCAACATAGCGAGCGATGCCAGGCCACAGCTCTTCACCAAGGCCACTTTCTCTGACCAACATCCGAAGCCGTCTTTTAACCTGCTGCACCTCTGTTTCAATCCTCCCATTTGAAGGGCCTTCATCACCCCCCGTCATAGTTTGGTAAAGGCCAAATCGCCGGCAGAAGGACTGGAACACCTTGGAGAAGAAAGCGCACTCTCTGTCGGTGTGGACACGGATGATCTTCAGGCCCATCGCTTTGAAGCGGCAGTACATCCTTGTGGCCACCTTTGTGACATCGTGTTGACCTCTTGACTCCAGGGGCTCCACCAGTGTGATATTTTGAACTCCCACAGGCGCAGCCAGATCATCAATGTGCTTTCTCCAGCCTTCATTGAGAGCGACCGCATCCTCCTCCGCAACCCGGACCTCATCTTCGACCTCATCAAGCTGAGGCAGAACCTGTTCGCCAACTTCTTGATTGGCGGGATCTCCATCGCCTCCTTGATCGGCAAGACCTTGTTCACCATCTTCTCGATCGTC